CGCTATCGCTCAGGGTAAAATATTTGTCATAAAGGGCCAACCCGTGGTAAAATCACGATATATTCAAGCCCCCATGAATTATTTCTTAATTAAGATTTTTGTATTCATTGGCTTCTTTTTATCTTCAAATGCACAATGAAAATGTCGTAACTACGGAGTTAGCCGCCATATTGACTTTCTGAAATCCATAAAATGTGCGTTAAATGCAATAGTATCTAAAATGAAACATCACATACCTCAAAAACGTCCTTTTAATGAGATATTATCCGAATTTGAAGCGTACAAGTAACACAATAATCTTCAGATTGAGAGTTTTCATTCGTATGACGTCATGTTTTGCCATGACGTTAACGCGGTAGGATCATTCATGATATTTCGCGGAATTTTATTTTATTTAAATTTCAGACATTTTCCAAGCTTGAATGCATTATTTCTTTTTTCGATGCTTAAACAAATTATGTAATTTGTTTTTCAATCTCAATTTGCTCAGTACTCCTGGATCACATGCATGTGTATAGCGCTTGAATTGATCAGTGAAAGTAGTTTCGGCAACATGGTTTATCGAAGTGTAAACCAAGGGAAAAACTTCTAATGGACCAATCAAATTCAAGTATTTGTAGATATGCAAATCATGTAAGAATTATTCAATTAGCACCTATATATGACATAGTATAAAGGTCATTTTTTTTTTCATTTTATTATTGTGGGCGTTGCAAATATTGAATTAAGGAAGTATTTGTTTTTTTTTAATTTTTTCTTATTTTTCTCAGAGAAGTGGACAATGTACTTGTATTGGTATTTTCTTTGGTTAAATAATGCAATATTGTATATTTTTTTTTGAAAATTGTGGGGGGAGGTGGATTGGACGCCTTTTTTGTTTTGTTTTTAGAAGTATGTTTTTCTTCTGTCTTCCCTATATTTTAATTAGTATATTTTGTAGAGTTATCTCCTTTCACCTGGTGGTATTATATTTTTACCTATCGTACGTCACGAAATCCTATATCTCACGAAAGATATAATTTAATAAGTGTCGTTGAATGTAGGTTAATGGTCCTTAGTAGGCTAACATTAAGGGTGAAATGCCATCGAAGTTCCATGACGATTATGTGATTATGTCAAAATAAAGGATCCCTAAAACGAGTCTTACGTATGATTCGTCAAGCATACGTACCTTTCGTCAATTTGTAAGAAAGCTCTAATAAACTTTTATTAGTTAGTTGATTATTATTACTATTAACAATAGTTTTTATTCCTAAAAAAAGAGTACAGAGAACATCACCAGTGAAAATCTCTCTTATGATGAAAACCTATATGTCATTTGCTTGTTAAATTGAAGGTTTTTCAGGGCATCTTTTTAAGAAAATAATAATTACTTCTTTCTTTCCAGAATGTTTAAATTTCCCAAGATGACTGAATTTCAAAAAAAAAATCAAGTAGTATGTAAAACATGAGAAAGGTATTTGGTAAGTATTCGTTTTAGCAGCAATGAAATAGTTAACACAACACATGCTGGTGAACTTGATTTTAACTACTTTACGGTGATAGAAATGAGACAAGAGATACCAAAGGGACATTTAAACTCATTAGTCGAAAACAAACTGAAAAAGCCATGGCAAAAAACGAAAAAAATAAACAAAAGACAAACAACACTTCACAAAGCACAACATAGAAAACTAAAGGCTGAGCAATACGTACCCCACAAAAAAACCGAGGATGATATCAGGTGTTCCAGAAGGTAAGCAGATCATGTTCCACATGCGTCAACCGCCAATTTCTCATTTAAATACAAAACCGAAGATAATGCTAATTCGGTAGATCGTATTCGAGAAAAAGAGGACGGATTGTAGTTATGTCAATTTGAACAAATCTCATGTCATCTGTGAAACATATGTTCCATATCAGTCAACCACTTCGTGATGGCGTTTTCGTAGGGGTAATTACAACATCCCCACATGCAACTCTTGGTATAATAGCTTCCTTGTAACCTCTGTCAAGGAAATTATGATAGGAGACGAAGTTCTGGTATCTCGAATCAACTGAGATATATATTATCCATATACAGGCGCTGCTGATATGTTGCTACATAGAAATGGAAAGTTCACAATTGGGAAGCTGAAATCATGTTGTTCTCAAATGACCCTCATTGTCACACTTTCTAGATGTACATTTAAGTAATGAAGCCGTCTGAACTGTATCTGTTGTATCTTTTATTTCAAGTTCGATTGAATAGATGCGTGCATCATAGTTCTTTTTTTTTTTAAAGGTGGGGGGGGGGGGGGGGGGGGGGGGTGATCTAGTACGTTGATTTTATTCTAAATTCAGTAATGTCTGACTGTGTTCCTTCCTGACAGACTTACACGCTCTACACGTAAAGCAATCTCTATTTTAAAAATATTTTTTTTACCTGAAGTTCAAATTCTTTATAATGAAAAGTATATTTCACATCCAGATTTTCATTTGTTTTGTTTTCAATATTTTTACACATTGCTAAATGAGTTCTCAACTTCCGCTCGGGGAATTAATGAGAAAAAATACGCCTGCTAAGATTTCTGACCTCCATTGCAATAAATATATATTATTTTTACCTTTAAAACTATATATTTACTTCTAAAACATTTGAGAAGAACAAAGGCGGAAGATACCAAGTGTATATTTAAAACTCATAAGTCGTAGAAAATGATAATACCATTGCTAAACAACGACACAATTAAAGACTAACCAGTCCAAAAAAGAAACACTGCGTAAAAAACTAAAGATTAAGCAACACGAGCCCCACCACAAACCGTGATCAAACTCGAGTGCTCCAAACTTAACCACATAAAAAGATGAATTTAGCTCTCCAATCGTGAACTTTCCATTTCTATAGAGCAACATTCTAGCAGCGCCTGTATATTGAGTATACATCTCCCAGTTGATACGATATTACCGAATTTGACTTTTCCCGAGTGTGAATTCGCATTGATATTAGACGTGTCTCTGTATATATACATCCAACATTCATGTATTTAGTTATGATGTTTCGATTGTAACTCTGGTTGGATATGGGGTTTTTTTTTCGCAACCTTTCGTTATTTTGCCATGGCGTCGTCGGTTTCTCTCAACTTATGAGTTTTAAATTTCCCCTTGGTATATTCCGCCTAATGTTGAATTAGTTCATGGTTTGTTAGTTTCAGTAACCATAATCAGGATTAAAACTGATTTTGAAAATACAATTCTGTAATGCTATATTTATCATCTGTTATATACGCCCCTCCATGCGAAAAGGTACAAAAAGTGTTTTTGATAAGCTTCACAGGACACGTGTTTTTAAAATTCGTTAAATTAGTTTTGAAAAACGATTTAGCCGTAAAAGTTGGTATAATGCAAACATTCATGAAATGGTCAATTCTGAATTCCGTAAAACGGAAAAGACGTAGAAATATTGAATTTTTGTACATAAGCAAGTGTAAAATCATTTGTTACATTGAACAATGCTATACTGAGCCGAAATAAAACCATTTACGACACTTTAGTGAGAAAAGGTCAACAATGTTCATCATCTCTACCTCTATGCGTAAAGATGGGAAAACAACAGTCAAACATAAAGGAAAATGCATCATGTGTTTTTCAAAAAGACATTTAAAGCTAAGTTAAGTTATCTCCAATACCGTAACATGACTGAAGTACATTCATATCACGGTGACGTCATTCATTTTTTAAAAACAAAAACACGTATCAGTAAAAAAATTCTGAACTGCTAATGCTAATTATATAAAGTTTCAAAAATAAGCAAACTATTACACTCTTTATCCTGCATATCGACTTTTACGTCAGTTTATATCAAAACAGTTGACTTCTTTTGTAACAGATATTTTTGGCAGTTATAGTTATCTTCCCAAGTCGACATTTTGCCATCCACTCGTAATAACATATCGGTAATGACCATAGGTATAAAATTTGTTACCTATCGTTTTGACTAGTGATGAAATTTACTGTGTGAAACTGCTTATTTTATTTAGTTAATCTTGTTATTATTAATTTTTAATAGATCTATAATAAAATGACCTTTGGTAGTGTCTTTTTTTAAATGACGTGACAACTAGGAGGGTTATATGAAGAGTTAAGTATTAAAAGTAAACCTGTTAATTACCCCGACCATACGCGTACGGTCGGACCATACGCGTACGGTCGGACCATACACGTATGGTCGGACCATATGAGTACATACCCATATGGTCATGACCATACGCGTATGGTCCAAATACTCATATGGTCCGGAACATATATATATCAAGTCCTTGGACAGTTAAGTTAAGCTACCCTATTTAAATAACGTTTTAATTCTTTTCTTTTAAACTTCTTGACCAATTTTTAACCGGATTTTGGAAGTAAAAATCGGTTATTGATTTGGGGATGTACAGCAGGCGGGCGGGCGTTAGTTCGGCTGCCAAACAATGTTCGTTTGATAACATAAAAACCCTTTGACGAAATTTAGATATGTTGTGTCCTGCGACTATATGAAGGTCAAGTTCAATTTTCACGATTTTAGCTCTTCTCGTTGTTGAGTTATCGTCCTTATTATATCCAAAAGTGGTATTTATAATGTGATTGAGTTATTTCTCTAAATTCAGAAATGGTTAATTATATACATAAAGTTTGATTACACTTAGCCTTTATAAATAATTTTCACCTGTTATCAGTTAAGTAAGCATATGGTAAATAGCTGACAATTATAATTTGAGTGACAGATTTATTTGAAAATTTTCTGTTTTCTAAGTGTTGATGATTAAAATCTAAATAGGAGTTGTATAAATGTAGTTAGAAATTTACTGTTCATTATTAGACATTACAGAACTTGACTCAAGCTAGCGAACAATTGTAGCGAACAATTAGGATGTATAACTAAAAACCACAATTTCACATAAGACAATCACGTTCTTTTCGAGCTAGCGAACAATTACAGAGACCTAGCGGACAATTATAAGAATATTCAAAATATTAAACTAAAAAGAATAAAAAAAATTAAAACAAAAGGGATACCATAAAGATTTTGACCAATTTGTAGAGATTGTGACAGGCAACGACTGTAAAGGTAACATAGAGGAGACATTGTCGTATCTAATAAGACAAACTCCAGAATGGTTTATGTTTAAAAATCTGAAGTTAAGTTTAAAAAACTGAAATTGTAAAAACGAAAAGGGAGGAGGGGGCATACATTAAGTTGATTTTTGACCCATTTATAGAGATTGTGCAGCTGAGACATTAGTGTATCTATTAAGACAATTTCCAGGATGGTTTATGTTAAAAGATCTGAAGTTAGGTTGAAAAATTGTAATTAAAAACAAAAAGGGGGGATACCTTAAGTTGATTGTTGACCCATTTATAGAGATTGTGACGGGCAACGACTGCCTATAGGTGATATAGAGGAGACATTGGCGTAACGTTTAGGAAAATCTCCAGAGTGGTTTATGTTCGAAAATCTGAATTTACGGTTAAAAAACTGAAATTGTGAAATTGACAAAATGAGATTAGGAGGGTAGGGCACTAAAAGTAAAGTTTGCATCAATTTGAAGAGATTGTAACGGACAACGACTAAATAGGTGTTGTAGAGGAGACAATGGCGCATCGTTTAAGAAAATCTCCAGAGTGGTTTATGTTCGAAAATCTGAAGTTACGGTTAAAAAACTGAAATTGTGCAATTGACAAAATGAGATTAGGGGGGTAGGTCACTAAAAGAAAAATTTGGACTATTTTAAAGAGATTGTGACGGGCAACGACTATATAGGTGTTGTAGAGGAGACATTGGCGCATCGTTTAAAAAAATCTCCAGAGTGGTTTATGTTCGAAAATCTGAAGTTACGGTAAAATAACTGAAATTGTGAAATCGACAAAATGAGATTAGGGGGGTAGGCCAATTTAAGTTAATTTTGGACCAATTTCAAGAGATTGTGACGGGCAACGACTATATAGGTGTTGTAGAAGACACATTGGCGCATCGTTTAAGAAAATCTCCAGAGTGGTTTATGTTCGAAAATCTGAAGTTACGGTTAAAAACTGAAATTGTGAAATTAACAAAATGAGATTAGGGGGGAAGGCAAATTTAAGTTAATTTTGGACAAATTTCAAGAGATTGTGACGGGCAACGACTATATAGGTGTTATAGAGGAGACAATGGCGCATCGTATAAGAAAATCTCCAGAGTGGTTTATGTTCGAAAATCTGAAGTTACGGTTAAAAAACTGAAAATTATATTGTGAAATTGACAAAATGAGATTAGGGGGGTAGGTCACTAAAAGAAAAATTTTGACCATTTTAAAGAGATTGTGACGGGCAACGACTATATAGGTGTTGTAGAGGAGACATTGGCGCATCGTTTAAGAAAATCTCCAGAGTGGTTTATGTTCGAAAATCTGAAGTTACGGTAAAATAACTGAAATTGTGAAATTGACAAATTGAGATAAGGGGGGGAGGCCAATTTAAGTTAATTTTGGACCAATTTCAAGAGATTGTGACGGGCAACGACTATATAGGTGTTGTAGAAGACACATTGGCGCATCGTTTAAGAAAATCTTCAGAGTGGTTTATGTTCGAAAATCTGAAGTCACGGTTAAAAAACTTAAATTGTGAAATTGACAAAATAAGATTAGGGGGGGGGGGGGGGGGGGGGTAGGGCACTAAAAGAAAATTTTGAACCAATTTCAAGAGATTGTGACGGGCAACGACTATATAGGTGTTGTAGAAGACACATTGGCGCATTGTTTAAGAAAACCTTCAGAGTGGTTTATGTTCCAAAATCTGAAGTTACGGTAAAAAAACTGAAATTGTGAAATTGAGAAAATGAGATTAGGGGGGTAGGCAAATTTAAGTTATTTTTGGACCAATTTCAAGAGATTGTGACGGGCAACGACTATATGGGTATTGTAGAGGAGACAATGGCGCATCGTTTAAGAAAATCTCCAGAGTGGTTTATGTTCGAAAATCTGAAGTTACGGTTAAAAAACTGAAATTGTGAAATTGACAAAATGAGATTAGGGGGTAGGTCAATTTAAGTTAATTTGGACCAATTTCAAGAGATTGTGACGGTCAACGACTAAATAGGTGTTGTAGAGGAGACAATTGCGCATCGTTTTAGAAAATCTCCAAGGTGGTTTATGTTCGAAAATCTGAAGTTACGGTTAAAAAACTGAAAATTTTATTGTGAAATTGACAAAATGAGATTAGGGGGGTAGGGCACAAAAAGGAAATTTTGGACCATTTCAAAGAGATTGTGACGGACAACAACTATATAGGTGTTGTAGAGGAGACAATGGCGCATCGTTTAAGAAAATCTCCAAGGTGGTTTATGTTCGAAAATCTGAAGTTACGGTAAAATAACTGAAATTGTGAAATTGACAAAATGAGATTAGGGGGGTAGGCCAATATAAGTTAATTTTGGACCATTTTCAAGAGATTGTGACGGGCAACGACTATATAGGTGTTGTAGAAGACACATTGGCGCATCGTTTAAGAAAATCTCCAAAGTGGTTTATGTTCGAAAATCTGAAGTTAAGGTTAAAAAACTGAAATTGTGAAATTGAGAAAATGAGATTAGGGGGGGTAGGCAAATTTAAGTTAATTTTGGACAAATTTCAAGAGATTGTGACGGGCAACGACTATATAGGTGTTGTAGAGGAGACAATGGCACATCGTTTAAGAAAATCTCCAAGGTGGTTTATGTTCGAAAATCTGAAGTTATGGTTAAAAAACTGAAATTGTGAAATTGACAAAATGAGATTAGGGGGGTAGGCCAATTTAAGTTAATTTTGGAGCAATTTCAAGAGATTGTGACGGGCAACGACTATATACGTGTTGTAGAGGAGACATTGGCGCATTGTTTAAGAAAATCTTCAGAGTGGTTTATGTTCGAAAATCTGAAGTCACGGTTAAAAAACTTAAATTGTGAAATTGACAAAATAAGATTAGGGGGGTAGGGCACTAAAAGGAAATTTTGGACCAATTTCAAGAGATTGTGACGGGCAACGACTATATAGGTACTGTAGAGGAGACACATTGGCGCATCGTTTAAGAAAATCTCCAGAGTGGTTTTTGTTCGAAAATCTGAAGTTACGGTTAAAAAACTTAAATTGTGAAATTGACAAAATAAGATTAGGGGGGTAGGTCAATTTAAGTTAATTTTGGACCAATTTCAAGAGATTGTGACGGGCAACGACTAAATAGGTGTTGTAGAGGAGACAATGGCGCATCGTGTTAGAAAATCTCCAAGGTGGTTTATGTTCGAAAATCTGAAGTTACGGTTAAAAAACTGAAAATTTTATTGTGAAATTGACAAAATGAGATTAGGGGGGTAGGGCACAAAAAGGAAATTTTGGACCATTTCAAAGAGATTGTGACGGGCAACAACTATATAGGTGTTGTAGAGGAGACAATGGCGCATCGTTTAAGAAAATCTCCAAGATGGTTTATGTTCGAAAATCTGAAGTTACGGTAAAATAACTGAAATTGTGAAATTGACAAAATAAGATTAAGGGGGTAGGCCAATTTAAGTTAATTTTGGACCAATTTCAAGAGATTGTGACGGGCAACGACTATATAGGTGTTGTAGAAGACACATTGGCGCATCGTTTAAGAAAATCTCCAAAGTGTTTTATGTTCGAAAATCTGAAGTTACGGTTAAAAAACTGAAATTGTGAAATTGACAAAATGAGATTAGGGGGGGTAGGCAAATTTAAGTTAATTTTGGACAAATTTCAAAAGATTGTGACGGGCAACGACTATATAGGTGTTGTAGAGGAGACAATGGCACATCGTTTAAGAAAATCTCCAGAGTGGTTTATATTCGAAAATCTGAAGTTATGGTTAAAAAACTGAAATTGTGAAATTGACAAAATGAGATTAGGGGGGTAGGCCAATTTAAGTTAATTTTGGACCAATTTCAAGAGATTGTGACGGGCAACGACTATATAGGTGTTGTAGAGGAGACATTGGCGCATTGTTTAAGAAAATCTCCAGAGTGGTTTATGTTCGAAAATCTGAAGTCACGGTTAAAAAACTGAAATTGTGAAATTGACAAAATAAGATTAGGGGGGTAGGGCACTAAAAGAAAATTTTGGACCAATTTCAAGAAATTGTGACGGGCAACGACTATATAGGTGTTGTAGAGGAGACATTGGCGCATCGTTTAAGAAAATCTCCAGAGTGGTTTATGTCCCAAAATCTGAAGTTACGGTTAAAAAACTGAAATTGTGAAATTGAGAAAATGAGATTAGGGGGTAGGCCAATTAAAGTTAATTTTGCACCAATTTCAAGAGATTGTGACGGGCAACGACTATATAGGTGTTGTAGAGGAGACAATGGCGCATCGTATAAGAAAATCTCCAGAGTGGTTTATGTTCGAAAATCTGAAGTTACGGTTAAAAAACTGAAAATTATATTGTGAATATGACAAAATGAGATTAGGGGGGTAGGTCACTAAAAGAAAAATTTGGACCATTTTAAAGAGATTATGACGGGCAACGACTATATAGGTGTTGTAGAGGAGACATTGGCGCATCGTTTAAGAAAATTTCCAGAGTGGTTTACGTTCGAAAATCTGAAGTTACGGTTTAAAAACTGAAAATTATATTGTGAAATTGACAAAATGAGATTAGGGGGTAGGCCAATTAAAGTTAATTTTGCACCAATTTCAAGAGATTGTGACGGGCAACGACTATATAGGTGTTATAGAGGAGACAATGGCGCATCGTATAAGAAAATCTCCAGAGTGGTTTATGTTCGAAAATCTGAAGTTACGGTTAAAAAACTGAAAATTATATTGTGAAATTGACAAAATGAGATTAGGGGGGTAGGTCACTAAAAGAAAAATTTTGACCATTTTAAAGAGATTGTGACGGGCAACGACTATATAGGTGTTGTAGAGGAGACATTGGCGCATCGTTTAAGAAAATCTCCAGAGTGGTTTATGTTCGAAAATCTGAAGTTACGGTAAAATAACTGAAATTGTGAAATTGACAAATTGAGATTAGGGGGGGAGGCCAATTTAAGTTAATTTTGGACCAATTTCAAGAGATTGTGACAGGCAACGACTATATAGGTGTTGTAGAAGACACATTGGCGCATTGTTTTAAGAAAATCTTCAGAGTGGTTTATGTTAGAAAATCTGAAGTCACGGTTAAAAAACTTAAATTGTGAAATTGACAAAATAAGATTAGGGGGGGGGGGGGGGGGGGTGGGGGGGGTAGGGCACTAAAAGAATATTTTGGACCAATTTTAAGAGATTGTGACGGGCAACGACTATATAGGTGTTGTAGAGGAGACATTGGCGGATCGTTTAAGAAAATCTCCAGAGTGGTTTATGTTCCAAAATCTGAAGTTACGGTTAAAAAACTGAAATTGTGAAATTGACAAAATGAGATTAGGGGGTAGGTCAATTTAAGTTAATTTGGACCAATTTCAAGAGATTGTGACGGTCAACGACTAAATAGGTGTTGTAGAGGAGACAATTGCGCATCGTTTTAGAAAATCTCCAAGGTGGTTTATGTTCGAAAATCTGAAGTTATGGTTAAAAAACTGAAATTGTGAAATTGACAAAATGAGATTAGGGGGGTAGGGCACAAAAAGGAAATTTTGGACCATTTCAAAGAGATTGTGACGGACAACAACTATATAGGTGTTGTAGAGGAGACAATGGCGCATCGTTTAAGAAAATCTCCAAGGTGGTTTATGTTCGAAAATCTGAAGTTACGGTAAAATAACTGAAATTGTGAAATTGACAAAATGAGATTAGGGGGGTAGGCCAATATAAGTTAATTTTGGACCATTTTCAAGAGATTGTGACGGGCAACGACTATATAGGTGTTGTAGAAGACACATTGGCGCATCGTTTAAGAAAATCTCCAAAGTGGTTTATGTTCGAAAATCTGAAGTTAAGGTTAAAAAACTGAAATTGTGAAATTGAGAAAATGAGATTAGGGGGGGTAGGCAAATTTAAGTTAATTTTGGACAAATTTCAAGAGATTGTGACGGGCAACGACTATATAGGTGTTGTAGAGGAGACAATGGCACATCGTTTAAGAAAATCTCCAGAGTGGTTTATGTTCGAAAATCTGAAGTTATGGTTAAAAAACTGAAATTGTGAAATTGACAAAATGAGATTAGGGGGGTAGGCCAATTTAAGTTAATTTTGGAGCAATTTCAAGAGATTGTGACGGGCAACGACTATATAGGTGTTGTAGAGGAGACATTGGCGCATTGTTTTAAGAAAATCTTCAGAGTGGTTTGTGTTCGAAAATCTGAAGTCACGGTTAAAAAACTTAAATTGTGAAATTGACAAAATAAGATTAGGGGGGGTAGGGCACTAAAAGAAAATTTTGGACCAATTTTAAGAGATTGTGACGGGCAACGACTATATAGGTGTTGTAGAAGAGACATTGGCGGATCGTTTAAGAAAATCTCCAGAGTGGTTTATGTTCCAAAATCTGAAGTTACGGTTAAAAAACTGAAATTGTGAAATTGACAAAATGAGATTAGGGGGTAGGTCAATTTAAGTTAATTTGGACCAATTTCAAGAGATTGTGACGGTCAACGACTAAAAAGGTGTTGTAGAGGAGACAATTGCGCATCGTTTTAGAAAATCTCCAAGGTGGTTTATGTTCGAAAATCTGAAGTTATGGTTAAAAAACTGAAATTGTGAAATTGACAAAATGAGATTAGGGGGGTAGGGCACAAAAAGGAAATTTTGGACCATTTCAAAGAGATTGTGACGGACAACAACTATATAGGTGTTGTAGAGGAGACAATGGCGCATCGTTTAAGAAAATCTCCAAGGTGGTTTATGTTCGAAAATCTGAAGTTACGGTAAAATAACTGAAATTGTGAAATTGACAAAATGAGATTAGGAGGGTAGGCCAATATAAGTTAATTTTGGACCATTTTCAATAGATTGTGACGGGCAACGACTATATAGGTGTTGTAGAAGACACATTGGCGCATCGTTTAAGAAAATCTCCAAAGTGGTTTATGTTCGAAAATCTGAAGTTAAGGTTAAAAAACTGAAATTGTGAAATTGAGAAAATGAGATTAGGGGGAGTAGGCAAATTTAAGTTAATTTTGGACAAATTTCAAGAGATTGTGACGGGCAACGACTATAAAGGTGTTGTAGAGGAGACAATGGCACATCGTTTAGAAAAACTCCAGAGTGGTTTATGTTCGAAAATCTGAAGTTATGGTTAAAAAACTGAAATTGTGAAATTGACAAAATGAGATTAGGGGGGTAGGCCAATTTAAGTTAATTTTGGAGCAATTTCAAGAGATTGTGACGGGCAACGACTATATAGGTGTTGTAGAGGAGACATTGGCGCATTGTTTAAGAAAATCTTCAGAGTGGTTTATGTTCGAAAATCTGAAGTCACGGTTAAAAAACTTAAATTGTGAAATTGACAAAATAAGATTAGGGGGGTAGGGCACTAAAAGAAAATTTTGGACCAATTTCAAGAGATTGTGACGGGCAACGACTATATAGGTGTTGTAGAGGAGACATTGGCGCATTGTTTAAGAAAATCTTCAGAGTGGTTTATGTTCGAAAATCTGAAGTCACGGTTAAAAAACTTAAATTGTGAAATTGACAAAATAAGATTAGGGGGGTAGGGCACTAAAAGAAAATTTTGGACCAATTTCAATAGATTGTGACGGGCAACGACTAAATAGGTGTTGTAGAGGAGACAATGGCGCATCGTGTTAGAAAATCTCCAAGGTGGTTTATGTTCGAAAATCTGAAGTCACGGTTAAAAAACTGAAAATTTTATTGTGAAATTGACAAAATGAGATTAGGGGGGTAGGGCACAAAAAGGAAATTTTGGACCATTTCAAAGAGATTGTGACGGGCAACAACTATATAGGTGTTGTAGAGGAGACAATGGCGCATCGTTTAAGAAAATCTCCAAGGTGGTTTATGTTCGAAAATCTGAAGTTACGGTAAAATAACTGAAATTGTGAAATTGACAAAATGAGATTAAGGGGGTAGGCCAATTTAAGTTAATTTTGGACCAATTTCAAGAGATTGTGACGGGCAACGACTATATAGGTGTTGTAGAAGACACATTGGCGCATCGTTTAAGAAAATCTCCAAAGTGGTTTATGTTCGAAAATCTGAAGTTACGGTTAAAAAACTGAAATTGTGAAATTGACAAAATGAGATTAGGGGGGGGTAGGCAAATTTAAGTTAATTTTGGACAAATTTCAAAAGATTGTGACGGGCAACGACTATATAGGTGTTGTAGAGGAGACAATGGCACATCGTTTAAGAAAATCTCCAGAGTTGTTTATATTCGAAAATCTGAAGTTATGGTTAAAAAACTGAAATTGTGAAATTGACAAAATGAGATTAGGGGGGTAGGCCAATTTAAGTTAATTTTGGACAAATTTCAAGAGATTGTGACGGGCAACGACTATATAGGTGTTGTAGAGGAGACATTGGCGCATTGTTTAAGAAAATCTTCAGAGTGGTTTATGTTCGAAAATCTGAAGTCACGGTTAAAAAACTGAAATTGTGAAATTGACAAAATAAGATTAGGGGGGTAGGGCACTAAAAGAAAATTTTGGACCAATTTCAAGAGATTGTGACGGGCAACGACTATATAGGTGTTGTAGAGGAGACATTGGCGCATTGTTTAAGAAAATCTCCAGAGTGGTTTATGTCCCAAAATCTGAAGTTACGGTTAAAAAACTGAAATTGTGAAATTGAGAAAATGAGATTAGGGGGTAGGCCAATTAAAGTTAATTTTGCACCAATTTCAAGAGATTGTGACGGGCAACGACTATATAGGTGTTGTAGAGGAGACAATGGCGCATCGTATAAGAAAATCTCCAGAGTGGTTTATGTTCGAAAATCTGAAGTTACGGTTAAAAAACTGAAAATTATATTGTGAATATGACAAAATGAGATTAGGGGGGTAGGTCACTAAAAGAAAAATTTGGACCATTTTAAAGAGATTATGACGGGCAACGACTATATAGGTGTTGTAGAGGAGACATTGGCGCATCGTTTAAGAAAATTTCCAGAGTGGTTTACGTTCGAAAATCTGAAGTTACGGTTAAAAAACTGAAAATTATATTGTGAAATTGACAAAATGAGATTAGGGGGTAGGCCAATTTAAGTTAATTTTAGACAAATTTTAAGAGATTGTGACGGGCAACGACTTTATAGGTGTTGTAGAGGAGACATTGGCGCATCGTTTAAGAAAATTTCCAGAGTGGTTTATGTTCGAAAATCTGAAGTTACGGTAAAAAAACTGAAATTTTGAAATTGACAAAATGAGATTAGGGGGTAGGCAAATTTAAGTTAATTTTGGACAAATTTCAAGAAATTGTGACGGGCAACGACTATATAGGTGTTGTAGAGGAGACAATGGCACATCGTTTAAGAAAATCCGCAGAGTGGTTTATGTTCGAAAATCTGAAGTTATGGTTAAAAAACTGAAATTGTGAAATTGACAAAATGAGATTAGGGGGGTAGGCCAATTTAAGTTAATTTTGGACCAATTTCAAGAGATTGTGACGGGCAACGACTATATAGGTGTTGTAGAAGAGACAATGGCGCATCGTATAAGAAAATCTCCAGAGTGGTTTATGTTCGAAAATCTGAAGTTACGGTTAAAAAACTGAAATTGTGAAATTGACAAAATGAGATTGGGGGTAGACCAATTTAAGTTAATTTTGGACCAATTTTAAGAGATTGTGACGGGCAACGACTATATAGGTGTTGGAGAGGAGACATTGGCGCGTCGTTTAAGAAAATTTCCAGAGTGGTTTATGTTCGAAAATCTGAAGTTACGGTTATTAAAAAACTTAAAATTTTATTGTGAAATTGACAAAATGAGATTAGGGGGTAGGGCACTAAAAGAAAAATTTGGACCATTTTGAAGAGATTGTGACGGGCAACGACTATATAGGTGTTGTAGAAGAGACAATGGCGCATCGTTTGAGAAAATCTCCAGAGTGGTTTATGTTCGAAAATCTGAAGTTACGGTTAAAAAACTGAATTGTGAAATTGACAAAATGAGATTAGGGGGGTAGGCCAATTTAAGTTGATTTTGGACCAATTTTGAGAGATTGTGACGGGCAACGACTATATAGGTGTTGTAGAGGAGACATTGGCGCATCGTTTAAGAAAACCTCCAGAGTGGTTTATGTTCGAAAATCTGAAGTTACGGTTAAAAAACTGAAATTGTGAAATTGAGAAAATGAGATTAGGGGGGTAGGGCACTAACAGTAAAGTTTGGACCATTTTAAAGAGATTGTGACGGACAACGACTATATATATAGCTGTTGTAGAGGTGACATTGGCGCATCGTTTAGGAAAATCTCCAGAGTGTTTTAGGTTCGAAAATCAAGTTACGGTTAAAAAACTGAAATTGTGAAATTTACAAAATGAGATTAAGGAGGTAGGCCAATTTCAGTTAATTTTGAACCAATTTCAAGAGATTGTGACGGGAACGACTATATAGGTGTTGTAGAGGAGACAATGGCACATCGTTTAAGAAAATCTCCAGAGTGGTTTATGTTCGAAAATCTGATGTTACGGTTAAAAAACTGAAATTGTGAAATTGACAAAATGAGATTAGGGGGTAGGCCAATTTAAGTTAATTTTGGACCAATTTCAAGAGATTGTGACGGTCAACGACTATATAGGTGTTGTAGAAGAGACAATGCTGCATCGTTTAAGAAATCTTTAGAGTGGTTTATGTTCAAAAATCTGAAGTTACGGTTAAGGGCAACGACTATATAGGTGTTGTAGAGGAGACATTGGCGCATTGTTTAAGAAAATCTCCAGAGTGGTTTATGTTCGAAAATCTGAAGTTACGGTTAAAAAAATGAAAATTTTATTGTGAAATTGACAAAATGAGATTAGGGGGGTAGGGCACTAAAAGGAAATTTCGGACCATTTCAAAGAGATTGTGATGGACAACGACTATATAGGTAAGGTAGAGGAGAAAATGGCGCATCGTTTAAGAAAATCTCCAGAGTGGTTTATGTTCGAAAATCTGAAGTTAGGGTTAAAAAACTGATAATTTTATTGTGAAATTGACAAAATGAGATTAGGGGGGTAGAGCACTAAAAGAAAAATTTGGACCATTTTAAAGAGATTGTAACGCACAACGACTATATAGGTGTTGTAGAAGAGACATTGGCGCATCGTTTAGGAAAATCTCCAGAGTGGTTTATGTTCAAAATCTTAAGTTACGGTTAAAAAACGAGGGATGGCGTACCTTAAGATGATTGAAGACCAATTTATAGAGATTGTGACGGGCAACGACTGTTTATGTAACGTAGAGGAGACATTAGAAAAGACATTGGCGTATCTATTTAGAAAAACTCCAGAATCGTTTATGTTTGGAAATCTGAAGTTAGGTGAAAATAAATAGCGGGGTTTACCTTTTATAATGGAAAGATGTTACTTTTTATACTTGTATAAAAAAGTACATCAATATTTTTCCCGCGAAATTTATCCGACAGTATGTATACACCGTTTACAACACACTTTGTTGAAATCAACATTCTCTTGAGTCGGTAGTCCACAAACACGACAATGAAGTAAGTAATTTTTTATATTGAAATAACAGGGTCCTAAAACTTTGACAATGTCATTTTATATTCTTTTTGCATATCTCTTTCTGTCAACAGCTTCGCCATCCACATAAAACATGGATGATTGTAAACGTGCACATTATTACATATTTGTATACTGCACACAACATAATTGATAATAATGGTCCCCAAAAAAGGAAAAAAATATAATACAGTCCTATTAATTTTATTTTACTAATAAAAAAGAAGTGATTGCTGAAATAAAGAAGTAATTTGTCTGAAAGCTTTGGAATTATCTTGTTGAATGACCAAACCACACCCCTTTCCTTTTTTCGACGAGTCAACGGTCGTTTTTACTTTCTAACGGGTGAACGTATATTTATCTCCGAGCTTCGTTGAGTATAATAGGGTAATAGCTAAACTTCTGATAAACTTTGTCAAATTATTTGACTGAGACAATTTCAATTTTTTTTTACAAAATAATGGAAAATATAAGAGAACAGTAATACAATAAAATGCTCCACATGGCGCAGCTTGATACGACCGCAGAGGTCGAACCCTGAACAGTTGGGGCAAGTATGGACACAACATTCAAGCTTGATACAGCTCTGAATTTGGATTGTGATTAAATATTTGACACAGCATAGGTTTCTGACACAGAATGAATGTGGTCTAAGAACTTAAAAATTTTAAATTGGACATTCACCTATTATGGTCCAATATCCAAAATCTAAATACATGGTTAGATTCAGCATATCAAAGAACCCCAAGAATTCAATTTTTGATGAGATCAAACAAAGTTTAATTTTGGACCCTTTTGACCTCAATGTGGACAAAGTTGATAACGGGGCCCAAAAATCAAAAATCTAAATACATGGTTAGATTCAGCATATCAAAGAACCCCATATATTCAATTTTTGTTGAAATCAAACCAAAGTTTAATTTTGGACCCCGATTTGGACCAACTTGAAAACTGGGCCCATAATCAAAAATCTAAATACATGTTTAGATTCAGCATATCAAAGAACCCTAAGAATTCAATTTTTGTTAAAATCAAACTTAGTTTAATTTTGGACCCTTTGGACCTTAATGTAGACCAATTTGAAAACGGAACCAAAAATTAAGAATCTAAATACACGGTTAGATTCGGCATATCAAAGAACCCCAATAATTCAATTTTTGATGAAATCAAACAAAGTTTAATTTTGGACCCTTTGGACCTCAATGTGGACCAATTTAAAAACGGGGCCCAAAATCCAAAAACTTAATACACGGTTAGATTCAGCATATTAAAGAACACCAAGAATTCAAGAATAAAACCCCATTGAAATTGGTCAAGAAATAAGCAATTTATACGAAGTATCTTCTTTTCCACAATACTGTGCAATTGAATATTTCTTGCTATTGCGCAATACTGCACAATTGACAATTTCTTGCTATTGCGCAATATTGTGCTATTGGATATTTCTTGCTATTGCGCAATACTGTGCAATTGAAGATTTCTTGCAATTATGCAATACTGTGCAATTGAAAATTTCTTGCTATTGCACAATACTTATTATATAATAATTTACACATCCTGTTTGGTGTGTGTCTCCTACCATATCATTATTATTTGCTTTTAAATATAAATCAGAAATAACCAACTTAAAATGAAAAATTTTAAAAGAAAAAAAAAAGAAAAAAAAGAAAAAAAAGGAAAAAAAAAAAAAATCCCCCCCCCAAATTTTTTGAACCCCCTTATGATT